TGCCGCTGCCCCGGGGCAAAAGCGAATCTGACACTAATTCGTTTTTGCCTTTGCCCAATGGCCCAACTTCAGTCCTGACACGAATGGGCATGGGTGGGTGTGGGTGGGTGTGGGCGGGTTTGAAGGGTTTGGGTGGGTTTTGGTGGTTTTGGGTGGGTTCGCGTGGGGACCAGCGGCAGGCTGGGGTGGGGGTGAGGTTGGGGGTAGGGGTGGGCAAAGGCAAAAACGAATCAGTGTCAGACACTAATTCGTTTTTGCCCCCAGGCTGGGGTGGGGGTGAAGGTGGTGGCAGGGTGGGCAAAGGCATAAAGGAATTAGTGTCAGACGCTAATTCGATTTGGCCCCGGGCAGCGGCAGGCGGGGGTGGGGGTGGGGTTTGCACAAACCGCCAAAATGAGAACCCTATCCCCCTAAAATTCTTGGTTTCAGGTGTTTTCAAAACAAGCTAAGCCACAACGAAGCCACTTCCACCCAATAAAATCGAAACTGATCCCCAAAGCCAGGGGCACCCTAGGGTTCTTCGTTTTGTGAAACAACCTGAATTTTTGAATCTCGCCGGGGGTTTCTTATACAGGACGTTCGCTGTCTTACGGCTCCTACATAGGGGTTTAGGGATTCTAGGGTTCTAACCTTCCCTGCCCTTACGGTACATGGACCCTAAGCCCTTATAGAACTCTTAAACTACCCCTTAAAGGGTAGATGGACCCTAAGCCCTTCTAGAAGTCCTAAAGCCTAAAGGACCCCTTAAAGGGTACATGGACCCTAAGCCCCTATAGGACTCCTAAAGGACCCCTTAAAGGGTACATGGACCCTTGGGGACTTGGCAGCCTCGGACCAGGAGTTGCCCCAACCACCGCGCAGCACTCCGCGCGCGGCGGAATCTACCGAGGAGGTGCAGCAGATTCCAAGCCCCTAAACCCTAAATCCTACACCCTATACCCTAAACCCTATACCCTATACCCTAAGCCCTAAGCCCCGAACAAATCCCCAGAATGAAACCCCAAACCCACGCGAAAACACCCAACTAAATCCAAATCCTATAAAACCCCAGTCAGAAGCACCCTCAGCCCCAACCCGAAGGCACCCAATCTTTCTCACCCAAAGCACTAAACCCGAAGCCTGCCAGAACCTCCAACCTAACACCTTAAGGCACCCGACTCGACACCACCCACCTTTCAGACCCTTTTCAGGTAGAATCGTGGCTCTCCTTCGTGCGCATCGGCAGCGCACCCGAAATGGCTGAGCCAGGCATTGAGGGTTTGGGGTTTGGGGATTCAGAGCTGGGTTTAGGGTTTCCCAAAACCCCATCTAAATCCTAGTGGCCTTAAAGCCCTCAACCCTAACCCCCAAAGCCCTAAAGCCCTAAAACCTAAAACCTAAAACCCTAAGGCCCCCACCTAAACCCGAAGGCCCCCACACCCTAAACCCTAAACCCGAAGCCCTAAACTAACCAGGCCTCGAGCGCAGCCCAATGCGGTCAGTGCGGAAGGCCATCACGGTGACGGCTGCTGAGGCCCAGGTCCTAGGTAGTATTAGGGAGACCCCTTCAAGGGGCACCCTTGTTGACCTTGCTTATGGCTCTCTTAACAGGGACCTTACTGAGAGGGTCTATATCCCCAGGGGTCCCTTAATCCTAACTCCTACCAGGGTTTTGGTAGGGGGCGCTTCAAACTCGGGTTGATAGGAGTTCAGAATGGTGGTGATAGGGGATCTAGGATTTTGTTGATACGGGGCTTGATGGTTCTGAGAGGCTTTTGCTTTCATGGCCTTTTCCTTGAGGGTCGCTGCGGCCCAGGCGGGGTCCTTTTAGTCAGGATCTCATCCTTTGGGGTTTAGGGTTTAGGGTTAAAGTGCTCATCCTTTGGGGTGTAGGGTTTAGGGTTAAAGTGTGGCCTGCGCAGGCTGCACGAGCTGTGGCAACGCCCACAGCGAAGCCGGTGGCAATGCCGGTGGCAATGCCCGTGGCAGCGCCTGTGTCTATACGACGGCAGGTCGTCGTCAACCAGCTGCCTCAAAAGTTCATGCCCTACCCTTGCACGGCCGGCAGTGGCCAGGTGACTTGTCTCTTTGAGCGTTCACTGCTAGGTGACTACGCTGTACATTGCATCTTTTAAGCATCCCGCCTCCACCCAAGCCCCCTTAGGCTGTGCTTCGGGCCCATGTGTCGGGCAACGGCATCAAGTCGGTGCTACAGCCCTCCGGTGGTCAACCTGCAGTGGTTGTGCGTCAGCTGCCAGTGGCCCGAGTTCTGGCGCCAACATCTGGCTACAGTGCGCTTGCTCAGTATCAGAGGGCTGACACGCCGGGCAGTCAGGGAACTTGTTCTGCGAGTGCTTTTAGACAGGGGTCGGGATAAATAGTGCCATTATTCCCGCAAAAGTCACAGTCCAAATCTAGTATCAACGGTAATCTACTTGTATCCCCAAAACCTTAGCTCTTGTAAGCCTTCTACTTAAGAAGGCCCTTCTTCCAGAGGCCACTCGGGTGTGTGGACGACCTTTCAGCGGCCGCTTTTGCCAACAGCATCGGCCTCCTTTGGCACTCCGCGCCTCAGCCGCAGAGCCCCACTTCCATAAGCTAGAGTAGTATTGTAGTAGTATTGTAGTAGTATTGGGGAATTATTGTAGTAATGTTGCGGTATTATTGTAGTCGTATTGCGGAAACACTGTAGTGTTATTGTAGTAGTGTTTCGGTAGCATTGTAGTAGTATTGTAGTGTTATAGTAGATTATAGTAGTATTGTATTATTGTCGTAGTATCCTGATGGCAGTATTGCATGATTATAGCATGATTGTGGCATCATCATAGTATTGCACATGGTAGTATTCTGGTCTCGCTTTGGCATGATCATGTTGCCATTATGGTATTTATGGGAACACTGCGGCATTAGTACTAGTATTATTTTTTCTTATGTTTTGCCTTAACTATCATGCCCACTTTAGATCTGGCACGGCTGCCCCACCCCCGATGTAGGCACGGCCTCAGGGCGGGTCCTTCCACAACGGAAACACCCTCAAATCCTAAAGCAATTCTAAAGCCTGAACGCTAAACCTGAAAACCCTAAGACGTAAAAGCCGCAAGCCCTAGAGTACCATGGCGCTAAGCCCCTGACAACCTAGACCAAGCTATCCGGCCTCCCCTTTCTTTTACCGAGGACTCCGGTGCTGCAACGCATTGCAATCCCGCCCGCGGCGCTTGCGTTGCAGCGGACAAGCACCCGGTGAGCCAGGGAGCTTGCTGTAGCCTGGAACCACTGAGGATGGTTAGAATAGAGCAATAATTGTGCAGTAGTCATCACAGTGATAATAGCAGCACTTGTAAACTTGATAATGGTAGTTTTTCTTGTTCTTCTGATGACTACAATAGCTCGTGGCAGTGGTAGACATGACGAGAGTACATGAGGGTGACCATGAGTGGGCCCTACATGATCTATGCAGCGCATGGGCTTATGTTTGGAGCGTCGACAAAAGCCGATGGACTCCCCATGTCTGCGAGACACTGGAGCCAGGACCTCGAAATGAAGCCCCTTGCTTTGGCTCTAGGGCTTTTGGGGCTCCTTTAAGGACCCTCTTCATAACTCGGAGGGTCACCATAAGGGCTCTGCTAGGAGGGTTCCTGCAGGGTTCCTGTACGTGTTAGAAGACCCTAAACCCTAAACCCTAAACCCTAAACTATGGAGGGGCTACTAGAGGCGGCTACTCTGCGGCTTAGGGCTTCTCGCTTCAGGGAGGCCTTTTTTGGGGTATCTGTCAGGGCTCCAGCTTAGAGTTTAGGGTTTGGGGTTTGGACTTTGGGGTTTGGAGTTTGGGGTTTAGGGTTTGGGGTTCAGTAGTTAGGGTGTGGGGTTTCGGGTTGAAGGAGTCTTGGTTCGGGTTTGAGGTACCTGTTTTTGAGTCCTGACAGCTCGGACTGGAGCAGGTGGAGAAGCTGGGAGGCAAAGCACACTTCTGCTTCACGCCGGGAGCCTCTGAAGGCCGTGGAGGAAGAAAAGCGAATCCGAAATGGCCCCAAATGCTCGAAGATACACCTGCTCAGGACTCTAGACTCTAGACCCTATGCTCCCCGACATGAAGGTCGGCTTTCCCTTCAACTCCTCAAAATCCCCTCCAACTCGCCGGATGCCTGATTTGTTACTATGCTTCGATCCACCCCAACAGTGCCCAACAGCCTCTAGAACCCTAAACCCTAAACCCTAAACCCTAAACCCATAAAACCCTAAACCCTAAACCCTAAACCCATAAAACCCTAAACCCTAAACCCTAAACCCTAAAAAGGCCCCTACATTCGGGAAGCCGAGGCCTGTCATCAGTGACGGTCAGAGCCAGGGCTGCAAGGCGATGAGATACTCCCTCATCAGCCGGGAGGCCGATTATAAAGGGAGTCAGAGTTTAGTGCCTGAGGGGGCTTATAGGGCTTTAGGGGTTTTCTACGGGTTTATGGGGTTTATGGGGTTTAGGGGTTTTACCTAGGGCTTGTTGGGTATGTATATATATATATATAGGGTTTATCAGCCGGGAGGATGATAGAAGGGGCTCCTGGAAGCAACGGAGCGCTCGTAGGAACCCTTGAAAGGAAGCCTTAAGGCAGGCCGGTAGGGGGGGGCTTGAGTGCTTTGTGTTTTGGTGTTAAGGGGTTCAGGCTGCGCAGGGTCTTGGATGCAGTTTAGGGTTGAAGTTTCAGAGTTTAGGGTAGGATGTGGCATTTCAGACCGTAGGTCTTAAGGTTTGGGTGGGATGTGGAGGCTGTTGCGCGGAAGGTCATAACAGACTGCATCGAGCTGATGCACGAGGGCTACCATGCTGACGCCATCATCACCCTGGCCGGCTGCGACAAGTGCTGCTCTGAGCCAACACGCAGAGGGAACCCCTCCCCCCCAATCTTTTAAACCTCCTTGGGCCCAGGAGTGTCCCCGCATCCGTCATGCCGCTCGCGCGGAAGGACGCGGACGGGAAGAGAGACTTAGATTGGAAGAAAGGGTGAAACCAACCTAGTGGAAAGAAGTCAGCCCTAAACTCAACAGCCTAAAACTTGTCCTGCTTCTTTCGAAAACCCTCTGTCAGAGCTGTCAAAATGCATGGATTCGACAAGAGAGAAGTTTGTTTGTGAAGTCGCTTCTCAAGCCACCTTCGCAGTCTTAAGCCAGGTGGGTCGTATCACTGTCGCTGTTTTTGTGTCTCTGTTTTAGGTTTTCACTAGTAGGTACGATTTCCTGCTGCTCCTGCTATTTTTGCTCAGGACGCCCTCTCCGACCACCAACCCTGAAACCCCAAACCCCTAAACCTGTAGACACTTGCCCCCTCAGCCCTATACCCCGGATAAATTCCCATAATATAACTTTTTATTACAGCCTTCTGTACACGCTTTAAGACATCCACAAACCCTCAGAAAATCCCACAGCCTCTACTTCAGCCTTGGGTGACGTAACCCCCTGTAGTAACTCCTCAAAACCAAAATCCATCAACACCCTAAGCCCTACCTGGGCTAAGAACCTCCGTAATATCTTAATAGGAATGATGTAAAAATAACAAAAATAATAGTCCATTATAGTAACCTTTATACCTAGACTCTCCATCTACCCTCCATTAGACCCTAAGTACCCATTGTTTGGGCCCCTGTTTGAGGGTACAAGGAGGGTCCTGGTACGAACCCCTAAACCCTAAACCCCTAAACCCTAAACCCTAAACCCTAAACCCTAAACCCTAAACCCTAAACCCTAAACCCTGAACCCTAAACCCTAAACCCTAAACCCTTTCCCCCCTGTATACGAACCCGATTTCGCTGCAGGACCTTCTCGGCTTGTCGCTCTTCGGAGGGCCCGCGCTGCGGGCGCCTCAGGGGGCGGGGCAAAGCCTCTGAGGGTTTTGGGGGCTTTAGGTTAGGGTTTTTTAAAAGGGTTTAGGAACTTTACGAGGCTTGAGGGCACCCTAAACCAAACCCTAAACCTTAAACCCTAAACCCTAAACCCTAAACCCTAAACCCATAAACCCTAAACCCCTAAACCCTAAACACTAAACCCCTGAACCCTCAACTCTAAACCCCTAAACCCTAAGCCCTTAAAGCGTGCCCGGGTTCTGCCGAGGCCGGGCATCCACCCGGGGAGTTGCCGGAAGCGCGGCTCCGATGGCGAGGCGTTTTTTTTCTTTTTTTTGAGGGCGGGGAGGGGGGGGGGGTTTTGGGGTTTAGTTTTTTTGGGTTTTAGGGTTTTTTTAAAGGGTTTTAGGGTTTGGGGTTTTGGGGTTTTAGGGTTTTAGGGGCTTAGGGTTTAGGTTTTTTGGGTTTAGGGGCTTGGAGTTTAGGGTTTAGGGTTTTTTGGGTTTTAGGGTTTTTTTTAAGGGTTTTAGGGTTTTGGGTTTTGGGGTTTTAGGGTTTTAGGGGCTTAGGGTTTAGGTTTTTTGGGTTTAGGGGCTTGGGGTTTTGGGGTTTTAGGGTTTAGGGTTTAGGTTTTTGGTGTTTAGGGTTTAGGTTTTTGGGGTTTTAGGGTTTTAGCGGCTTAGGATTAGGGGCTTGGGCTTGGGATTCAGGGGTTCAGGGTTTGGGATTTTAGGCTTTAGGGGCAGAGTCGCAGCAGGCCAGTTGCAAAAGGCTTTAGGGGCTTAGGGTTTGGGATTTAGGGGCTTAGGATTTGGGATTTAGGGGCTTCGGGTTTGGGCTTTAGGGGCTTAGGGTTTGGGAATTAGGGTTTAGGGTTGAGCGGCTTTAGAGCTGCAGGCTTTGGCACTAGGGCTTCCATTAAATGTGGGCTCCAAAGAGGAGTCGTCTAAGGTTTCTGTTCAGCGTGCCTTGCAGGGCTCTATGGGTTCCCTTAAAGATTTTTCTTAGGGTTCCTTTTAGTTTAAGTTAGTTTAAGGCTTGCATCAAGGGTAGCTTTGAGTTTCATTTTTCGCATAATTCTGCGACTAACGATGGGGGGTGCCATTTTTTAAATTCAGACCTCTCCTCAGTACGGGAGTTTCAGAAAGCTAGAGTACCTTATCGGGGGGTCCTTGCACTCGGGATCCGACTATTTTAGGGTTTGTAATAGGGTCCCCTTACTTCTATTTCTGCAGGGCTGCTTGCGTGGCTTCAGGGTTCTATAGGGATCTGTGTTTTTTGAGTTTCAATGTAAGATCGGTAGCAGATGCAGATTTTTGCCATCAGTGGTGGTACATTTTGACTATCTCCTTGGTTGTAGTTAGTCTCTTGTTGATCGTCGTCGTTATCACTCATCCTCCGTCTCTGGGCAGTAGCATTCGGGATCCTGTCTGTCTGTCAAACGACTACTGAGGTCTTGACTGCGGGTGTGGGATCCTGTTCAGCCGCATCTTGCACTGCTAGCTGCGTAGCGAGCGGAGGAATTCGTTTTCCGCTTTCTTCTCAAAATGTGGAGGCCGTGGAGGCTCCGGGCAGGATGATGGACCCGGGGAAGGCTCATTCAGTGGCCTGCGCACAGCTGTAGCTGATTGCATGCAAGGCGTAAACCCACCTGGAAAAAAACCAAGCCCTAAACCTCCAAAGCGTAGTTACCTGGACCTTGGATTCAATCACAGTCAGACAGGCAAGAGCAGGAGCTGATGTCGCATCTAGATCTGAACCCTCGCATGCAACCTGAAGCCTTAAACCTCACGCAACCCAAAGCCGAAGACTCGAAGACCCTAAGACCCAGAGACCCTAAGGACACAACTTAGTGAAAAAAAGCAAGGAGGGGCCTGAATTCAGTTGGAGTGGACTTTGGGGAGTATAACTTTTATAGGGAAGCCCAATTGCCCAAACCGCCGAAATCCTAAGCTACAGAACCCCTTTAATCCCAAGCCCAGGGAGCTTTAGCGCCTTACATCCCTGAGTCTGCTCAGGAACCCCCGCAGCCCAAGCCTGCAATCCTTCAATGCCTTGGAAAAACACCTGAGCCCAAGGACCTTCCCTACAAGCCCTGAGCGAGAAACGGGGTTTGGGGTGTAGAGGTGTAGGCTTGAGGGCTTCGGTAGAGGGTACACCAAAACCCTTCAAACGTGTAAGCCCTCAAAGCAACGGTTTAAGCCACTAAGACAAAACCCTAAACACTATATACACCCTAAACCCCTAAACCCGGCCCAAACCCTAAACCCTAAGACAGCAAACCCGTCTTGATGGTCAGGTCATGGAGGCCATTGGCTCCTATGGCAAGGGCATGATCGACATGGAGGCTTGACATTCATGTGGGAGTTTCCGATAATTAGGGTACCTTATTTTGGGGTCCTTATAATAAGGAGCCTACTATTTAGCGTACTATATTAGGGTCCCCTATTTTCGGAAACCCCCATGTGACTTCGGGGTTTAGTGCTTGGGAACTTTGGGTGTAGCTTTTCTTTAGGGGAAACCTTTTTGTCTTTGTTGCAGGCGGGTGGTGGCATTGGTGAGAAAGGGCCGTATCTTACGGCCCCCGAAGATTGAAACCTTAACCCTAAACCCTAAACCCTAAACCCTAAACCAAAGAAAGAACCCCAGGAACCCCAAAACCACCCAGCCCTGACCCCCCCCCCACCCAGGAGCTCCACACCGTGGAGTGCCACTCTCTGCCCGGGAGCCCAGCCCTCAGAGGCAGTGAAGCCCAGGCCTCGACAGGGATATCAAGACGTAAAGGGTTTAGGGTTTAGGGTTTAGGTTTAGGGTTTAGGGTTTCGGGTTTAGGGTTTCGGGTTTAGGGTTTAGGGTTTAGGGAACAACTAGCAATAGGATCCCCGTGTGGTGCCCGTGTTATCTACGAAGAAAAACATCAAAGACCCGAGTCCAATTATGGAGGCCTGCATCGCAGTCGGTACTGGGTTCCCTTTTGCATGACAAATCTTGGGAGCCTAAATCCAGAATCGTCCTGCAGTAATATTGTGGTTAGCAGTCTAGTGCTCTGGGTGTTCTGATTTGGCTGCAAGCATAGTTTATGCGAGTACTCATCCGGATGATGGTGATGTTGCAAGCAGTTTCGAAGATGTGCAACAGTACTAGACCAGTCTCCAGAATCTAGCAGTGTAACCCGGAGTTGTCTTCGGGGCCATGCACCTCAAACCCTGAAGAGAACACAAAAGTGCTGGAACTGATTTCATAATCTAACAGCACCGCCCGGCAATGCACCCTAAACCCTAAAACTGAACCGGTCAGGTGGCACCTGCGCGGCAATGTTCACTGCTTGCACGATGCCAGGACCTCAATAAAACCTTAAACCACCTTCTGAGTCCTATATAGCTCAAATTACAGAACCTTATAAACATGCATAGAACTCTCCAAAAAGCTCACCAAACCGGCATAGGTTTAGGCTTAACATGGTGCTAACTGCGGTGTCGGTGTTTGTGATGTGGCCTGGGTCAGCTTTCACAGCTTGGGTCTTGGATTAGGCCTTGTAGCTAGCCCCTGATTAGCACAATGATAGTACTGATATTCATTATTGTTTCTTCTTCTTCTTCTACTACTGCTTCTTCTTGTTCTGTTACCACTGCTGCGACTACTACGACTGCGACGATGACGACGACGACGACGGCGACGACGACGACGACGACTGCTGCGACGACTGCTGCGACGACGACGACGACTACCACGACTATCATCAGCAATCTACCTGCGTGTTTTTGTGTCATGATTTTTATTGTTGATATTATTGCTGTTCGAATTATTGAAATTTTGTTTTTATGGCTCGTAGTACTGTTGCTGTGGCTTTTTTGTCATTGCACTATCCCTGTTATTCTTGTTATTATTATATTTATTGTTCATTATTGTTACTGACTACTAGTATCATCATTATTACTACCATTGTTGCTATTCTTCTGGCCGCTATAACGATTGCTTCATTGTTCCAATCTCAATGCCGTCGCTGCCGCTGCCCAGGGCTTCGGTGGTCGAAGCCCGGGTGCCTAGAGCTGCGACCAGCGTGGAGATTCGGTGTTACCAGGCCCTAAGCCCTAAACCTTAAACCCTAAGCCCTAAACCCTAAGCCC